AAAAAAAAAAAAAAAAAAAAAACCACCAAAACCTGTTGGCTTTTTCCTTTCACTTTTTGAGAAGTGTAATAGAACTGAAAATACCAGCAAGGAAAAACGTCCTTGAGGAATAGAGTTAACTGGATCTCCACAATGTTATTATGAAAGCTGCATTCCTGGGATATGAATTTGATTTTCTTCCTTTATTCCTCTCTCTTTCTTTCTTCTCCCTCCCTTTCCTTTCCTTTCTTTCCAAACCATTCACACTCCTTTTGTGAGGTGTGCAGATCTTGTATTATTCTTCCACTTTTCAGCCAAATGCACTTCAAAACACCCTTAGTATCAGTGCCCTCAAGAACCTGACCTTCCAGTTCTCCGGCAGAGAAGACCTACTGCTGCCGCTAATCCTCAAGATGGCATTTGCTGGAGGCGGTAGGAAGAGGCTCTCGGTGAGGATCCTAACCCCTGGGGGGACTGAATCTCTGCAGCTGTTGCTTGCTCAGGCACATTTGCCTCCCAAGAACTTCCTTCATCTCCAGGCCCCAGACTTCGGGCCGTGGGGAGGTGGAAGGAGACTGGGCACAGTTCATTAGACTTTCGGCTGTAAGAGCTGGAGGTCACCCGCGGGCTTATCTGTACCCGGGCCTATCCCCACCCTTCCGGAATGTAAATCCTCTGAGGGAATGTGTCGTCGCCATCTTTTAGTCCTTTGAGTTCACACAATCTCTCTCCAGCTCAAAACTGTTTATCCACAGCAATTCTGAGAATGATGAGAATCCCCCTCACCCCCCACCACCCGCAACACTTGCAAGCCTTAGTGGGATCTGCCCTCGTCGTCACCAGCCCTGCTACTCCAGCCACGTGAGTTTTCCGCCTGTGAGCCAAGCAATATGGCCTTCCGGCAGTCGTGCGGCCCTTGGGTCTCTGCTCAGGGCTTCAGGGACCCTTTCAAGCCACCCACTAGATGGCGGCCCCGGTGGGCGCTCCTGGCGCGGCCCTCCGCGCTTACTGTTTGTCATTGCGCGCCCAGCTCCGGAACCCCAGCCTTGAAGCTTCCCGCGGCCAGGAACAAAGCCTGTTTTGCTCACAGTTGCCTGAGAAAGCAGTCAGTCGTTAGCACCCTTCGAATTGGCTTACGTGCTCAGAAACGGTCCCATTGGCTGGGACCGCCTTCGCCGATGCCCATCTGCCCCGAATCTTCCTTCTGGGATGCCGACTTTTTCAACACGTACCAGGAGTCCTTCCTCGGCCCGGAATCCCCACCGTGCCCACAGTGGACAGGGCACCTGGCTACACCCCAGACTAACCCTGGTTTCCCCGAAGGACCGCAGAGGTTGGAAGCCCCTGCAAAATTAGGGGCGCGGTGTTCCCCTGGCCTGCCGAAGAGTCAGAGGAGCGGGGACAACATCCAACATCAGCCTCTACCACCACTAGCGGGAATCCCCGCTACCGCGCTACTCACCTGCCGCGCGCGGCGAACCGCGATTTGGGGGCGCAGGGTTTCCAGGGGACCAGCTGCTGGAGCGCTCCAGCCCAGAACCTGCAGACCCCGGGCCGCTGCCCCGCCCCGGCCCCGCCTGCTTCCACCCCCTCCCAGTCCTTAGGCCTCCGAAAACCTGCCCATTGACCCAACTCAGAGGGTGGGCCCGCCAAGGTCAAGAGTTCCCATCCTAAGAACCATAGACAGCCCGCCATGCACCACCACTTCGAGCCTCATACCAACTGGTAATGCTGGTCCCACCTAGCACTAGGATTTTTTTCCCAGTCTTAACTGACTATAGGAAAAAAAAAAAAAAAAGACAAGTATTTATGATTAAAACACGCGACCGAGAGCGGTGGCTAACGCCTGTAATCCTAGCACTTTGGGAGGCTGAGCGGGGCAGATCACCTGAGGTCAGAAGTTCGAAATCAGCGTGGCCAGTGTGGCGAAACCCCATCTCTATTAAAAATAACAAAAATTGGCTGGGCCCGGCGGCTCAAACCTCTAATCCCAGCACTTTGGGAGGCCGAGGCGGGTGGATCACGAGGTCAAGAGATCGAGACCATCCTGGTCAACATGGTGAAACCCCGTCTCTACTGAAAATACAAAAAATTAGCTGGGCATGGTGGCGCGTGCCTGTAATCCCAGCTACTCAGGAGG